ATCATCATCATCATCATCATCATCATCATCATCATCATCATCATCATCATTCTTCCTCCTCCTCTCATCCTCCTCCAACTCCTCCTCCTTGTCCTCCTCCTCCAGCCTCCTCGTCCTCCTCGTCCTCTTCTTCCTCCTCCTCCTCCTCCGTCTCCTCTTCCTCCTCCTCCTCCTCTTTTCTTTTTCCTTTTTAAACAAGTGGCACGTTTGCCATCGCTCTTGCACATATAGGAGAAGGGAGGAGGTTGAGGAGGAGGGAGGAGGAGGAGGAGGAGGAGGAGGACAAGGAGGAGAGGAGGAGGAGGAGGAGGAGGAGGAGGAGGAGGAGGAGGAGGAGGGGGAGGGGAAATGGAGGACGAGAAAAACGAGGCGGGAGGAGGAAGAGGGGGAGGATACTGAGGGGATGAAAGAAGGGGAAGCGAATGACGACTGAGAGAAATGGAGACACGGGAGGACGAGGACGAGGACGAGGAGAGAGAGAGAGAGAGAGAGAGCGAGAAAGGGAAGGCGATGAGGAAGGAGGGCGAGCAGGAAAGGGAAGAGACGGGAGGAGGAATTGGGACCAGTAGACGAGGAAGGGGAACTGAGGGAGGGAGCAGCAGTCACATATGCGAAGATGCCGAACAGGGGTCTGCAGGGCGGGGCGGGGGAGCGCGCTGGCTGGCGGGCGTGGAGCAGCCGGGCTGGCCGTGGGGGGGGGGGGGGCGGTGCCAAAATGAAATGGTCAGGGCGGGGGGGGGGCCGCGCTGGGGGCTGGGGTGGGGGGGATGCGGGGGGCGGCGCGGGATGGGGGGGGAGCGCGTGCCAAAATAACAGGGTCGGGGCGGAGGGGGCGCGCTGGCTGGTGGGTGGGGGGGATGCGAAGGGTGTGCGCCGGATGGGGGGGCCGTGCCGAAAAAAGGGTCGGGCGGGAGGGGCGCGCTGGCTGGCGGGTGGGGGACGGTGGTGTGGGTGGGTGGGTGAGGGGGCCGTGCCGAAATAAAAGGGTCGGGGCGGAGGGGGCGCGCTGGCTGATGGGTGGGGGTGGGATGCGGGGGGGGTAGGGGCGCGCGGGATGTGGAGGGCCGTGCCGAAAAAAAAGGGTCGGGGGGGAGGGGCGCACCGGCTGGTGGGTGAGGGGGGGGGATGCAAAAGGGGCACGCGGGAAGGGGGGGCGGGGGGGGGGGGGCCGTGCCGAAATAAAAGGGTGGGGGCGGAAGGGGCGCGTTGGCTGGGCGGTTGGGGCGGTGGTGTGGTGGGTGGGTGGGGGGCCATGCCGAATAAAAGGGTCGGGGCGGAGGGGGCGCGCTGGCTGGCGAGGGGGGGGGATGCGGAGGGGGCGCGGGGGAGGGGGGGGGCGTGCCGAAAAAGAGGGGTCGGGGCACAGGGGACGCGCTGGCTGGCGGGTGGGGGGTGGTGGTGTGGGGGGGTGGGGGGCCGTGCCGAAATAACAGGGTCGGGGGGGGAAGGGGCGCGCCGGCTGGTGGGCGGGGGGGTGGATGCGGAGAGGGTGCGGGGGATGGGGCGGGGGGGGGGCGTGCCGAAATAAAAGGGTCGGGGCGGAAGGGGCGCGCTGGCTGGTGGGTGGGGGGATGGTGGTCTGGGTGGGTGTGGGGCGGTGCCGTGCCAAAATAAAAAGGGTCGGGGCGGATGGGGCGCGCTGGCTGGCGGGAGAAGGGGGGTGCGGAGGGGGCGCGTGGGATAGCGGGGGGGCCGTGCCCAAATAAGGGCGGGGGGGGCGGGCTGGCTGGCGGGTGGGGGGACGGGGCGGGGGGAGATGGGGGCACTCCCGGGGCGCTCTGGCTGGTGGAATGGGTGGGCGATGGAGGGGGTGCCGTGCCGAAATAAAGTGACCGGAGCTCTAGACACCCTGCGCAAGAGAATAAATTATCCCTGTCGCGCGCCGAGGCCAGCTTTTAGGGCGGGCTGGGCGTTTCGCCTAAGACTTCCGCACCGCACCATCGCTTTAGGCTTCCTGGCGACTCACGCAGGTCGCACGCTTCAGCAACCTGCCTGCTGGCTGCAGTGCCAGTCCCAAGGCAGGCTGGCGGAGCCTGCGGGAGGAAACTTAAAACCCGCGCAGACCACGAAAGGCACCTGCATGCGCATGCGCCACGCTGGTCCCGGGCAGGCTGCGCTGCCCAGCGAAAGGGGACGAGGACGGGAGAAGCAGGCAGACGACGAACGCCCAGGCGAGAGGCCAGGGCCGGCGGGGCGGGCGGGCAGGCAGAAGAGGGGCCAGGCGGGGACAGCAGGCAGGGAGCAGGAGGAAAGGAGGGAAGCAGCGAGCAGAAAGGGAGGGAGGAGGAGGACAAGGAGGGGGGGGGAAGCAACCGCAAGCAGACAGGCTAAGCCAGGGGCCGGGAGAGAAGAGCCACCCGCGACGAGGCTACGGCCCCTACGGCGGCGACTTGGGCGGGGTGGCCGACCGAGCCCAGCGCGCCGCGGCTCGGTGGGGAGTGCGCTTTGCGAGATCCATCCACCGCCCGCCGAGGAATGGCCGAACGGCGCGCGCGAGGGGTCGCCGGCGCGACGCTGGCAAAAGGGCGCGGGGGGCGTCCGTGCTGCCCTACAAAGGCGGGGAGGTGGACGGGGGGCGCTAGGCAGCGCCGGGGGCACCTAACACGGCGTCCGCCGTGGAGGCAGCCGCGGCCGTGGCCAGGCGGGCCGCGGCCACCCCCGCCCCTCCAGACTGCGTCTGGAGGCGCCGCAACAGCGCCCACGCGTTCTCCCTTCGCAGGGAGACAGAAAGTCGTCGGGCGTGCTGGTCCGCAACCAGTGCGGAGTCTGAAGGCCCTGCGTGCCTCGCGGCCCCACCCGCCGCCGTGGGCTTCCACCACCATAGGGATGAAGATGAAGCCCTGCGCAGCGCAAAGCCGCGCGGTGTCTTGGTGCTGCCTTTGAACTCCTCGTACCGCCCCATCGCCGCGCTTGACGAAGCGGCCGACGCGGCGAGGAGATCGGCGCGCAACCCTGACGTGGCGGCAAAATCCCAGGCGGCCGCCGTGCCGTTGCGCCACCGCGGCAGGTAGACGTCGGCAGGGCGGCGGCCGTTGTCGTCCACCTGGGATCCGCCCTGCTCGTCCTCACCACTTATGACCCTGAAGCCTCAGCTTCACAGATGGACGACGGGTCGTTTTCAATATGTCGCTCTCAGCGCCGCGCACATTCCCATGATCAAAGTACCAGACATGATGTGTTGGAAGGGTTCCGGATTATGAGGGTGCAACAATTACGTTTGTTCGCGGTGTTGAAATCCAGCGAACAGCGTTCTGGCACATTCGAGATCTGCAAAACAACACAATCAGGTTCGTCTGTGGCGCTCGAATCCCGAGAACAATGTGTTGGGATGCTTCAGGATCTTCAAACGGTTGTCTTCCAACGAGGCAGTTCCCCCCATGGAAATGAACCGTTGTAAGGGGCCCATGAAGAGGGAGCTTGGAAGGAGGGTTTACTCCAACATCGTTGATGACTCTTGGGTTTTCACTGGTCCTTCTCCTCCTCCGCCTCCTCCTCATCATCAGTGCCTTCTTCTTCTTCATCTGCATCATCCCCCTCCCCCTCCTCCTCCTCCGCCTCCTTCTCCTCCTCTTCCGCCTCCTCCTCCTCCTCCTCATCCGCCTCCTCCCCCGCCTCATCCGCCTCCTCCTCCGCCTCCTCCTCCTCCTCCTCCTCCTCCTCCTCTCCACCTCCTTCACCTCCTCCTCCTCCTCCTCCTCCTCCTCCTCCTCCTCGTCCTCCTCCTCCTCTTCCTCCTCTTCCCCCTCCTCATGTTCCAGCTCATGTTCCTGCTCCTGCCCCTGCCCCTGCTCCTGCTCCTGCTCCTGCTCCTGTTCCTGCTCCTGCTCCTGCTCATGGCCCTGCTCCTGCTCCTGCTTTTGCTCCTGCGCCTGTTCCTGCTCCTGATCATGCGCCTGCTCCTGTTCCTGCTCCTGCGCCTGCTTCTGCTTCCTCATCCTCCTCCGCCTCCTCCTCATCTTCCTCCTCTTCCTCCTCTGTAGCCTCCTCCTCATTCTTCTCATCATCCTCCTCCTCAGTGCTCTCCACATCATCCTCATCCTCATCCTCCTCCTCCTCCTCCTCCTCCTCCTCCTCTTCATCAGTATCCGTTCCTCTCCTCCTCCTCTCCTCCTCTCCTCCTCCTCCTCCTCCTCCTCCTCCTCATCCTCCGTCATCATGCTCCTCCTCTTCATCTTCATCCTCCATCCTCCTCCTCCTTCCTCCTCCTCCTCCTCCTCCTCTTTCTTCATCATCATCAGCATCAGCAAGCATCAGCAAGCATCAGCATCATCTCATCATCAGCAGCAACCATCATCATCAGCAGCATCAGCATCAGCATCAGCATCATCTCAGCAGATCATCAGCATCATCATCACAGCATCATCATCATCATCAGCAGCAGCATCCCATCATCAGCATCATCATCATCATCATCTCAGCAGCATCATCACGCATCATCATCATCATCTGCAGCATCATCAACATCATATCATCACATCAACATCATCATCAGCACATCATCATCGTCATCATCATCAGCAACATCATCATCAATCAACAGCATCAGCATCATCAGCATCAGCATCAGCATCATCATCAGCAGCAGCACATCATCATCATCATCATCATCATCATCATCATCATCATCATCATCATCATCATCATCATCATCATCATCCCCCTCCTCCGCCTCCTCCTCATCCTCCTCATCCTCCGCCTCCTCCTCATCCTCCTCCTCCTCTTCCTCCTCCTCCCCCCCTCCTCCTCCTCCTCCTCCTCCTCCTCCTCCTCCTACTCCTCCTGCTCCGCCTCTTCCTCCTCTTTATCCTCCTCCTCATCCATTATGGTTATGCGTCTTTTTACCTTTTCATAGTGATCTAGTATTCGTCTTCGTGTTTTAGTATTGCTAGTGTTTCTCCTCTTCCTCCTCCTCCTCCTCCTCCTCCTCCTCCTCCTCCTCCTTCTCGTCCTCCTCTTCCTCCTCCTCCTCCTCGTCCTCCTCCTCCTCGTCACCAGCCAGCCATTCTAGTCACCACCACCACCACCACCAGCATCGCAGGCGAGGCCCGCGGCGGACGGGCGGCGGGACGGGCCTCCTGCTCCTTGGCTTTTGCCTTCGCCTCCGTGGCCTCCTGCGCCTTTCTCTTCCTCTCCTTGGCCCTCTCCTTCGCCAGCTCCTCCTGCCTGGCCTTCTCCTGGGCCCTCTCCAGCTCCCGCTGCTTCTCCCGCTCCTTCTCCTTCTCGAGCTCCTGCTTCCTCTCGAGCTCCCTCTGCTTTTGCCTCTCTCTTTCCCTCTCCCTCTCCTTTTCCCTCTCCAGCTCTCGCTGCTTCTCCCTCTCCTTCTCCTTCTCCCTCTCGATCTCGCGCTGCTTCTCCCTCTCCTCGCGTTCTTTCCGCCGCTCCTCTTCTCTTCGCTTCTCCTCGAGCTCCCGTTCCTTGCGCCTCTCCTCTTCGCGCTCCTTGGCGCGCTCTTTCTCGCGCTCCCTCTCGCGCTCCTTCTCGCGCTCCTTCTCGCGCTCCTTCTCCTGGGGGGAGGACAACAGCAGGAGCGCAAGCAACCCAAGGGAGGAGGACGAGGAGGAGGAGGAAAATAAGAATTCGCCGGCCCAACGGGCCAAGGGCGCGCTAAGATCTCCGATAACTGGCTACGTAACAATATTTAGTTTGCGCGCGGGGCAGCCTCTGGGGGTCCCCGGACGAAAAAAAAACCCTCAAGTCCGGGCCAAGTCTCGGCCAGGTCCCGGCCAGGTCCCGGGGAGGTCCCGGCCAGGTCCCAGCAGGCTCCCAAGAGCGCTCCAGGAGCGCTTCAAGTGGCCTCCAAGAGAGCTCAACATGGTCCGAGACGGTCCCAGAGCGATCCAAGACGCCAAAGATTGCCTCCAGCCAGCCCAGAGCGCCTTCAAGACGCTCCAAGAGGCTTCCTAAGAGACCTCCCAAGAGGGCCCTCAGAGGCAGAAATTAGTGGTTTCCCTGCAGTTTCTGACGGATTTGGGCGCTCTTGCCTTTTCGGCTTACCGGCGCTCCAAGACGGCCCAAGAGGCTTCCCAGACCGCCCCAAGACGGCCCACAAAGCCTCCAAGAGGGCCCCAAGAGGGCCCAAGATGGCCCCAAGATGGCCCAAGAGGCGCCCAAGACAGCCCAAGAGAGCCCCAAAACGGCCCCAAGAGGGGCCCAAGAAGGGGACCAGGAACCGAAAAGTCCAGCATTCAGCCCCAAGAGGCCCCCAGAAGGCCCCAAGAGGCCCCCAAGAGGCCCCAAGGGGCCTTCAAGAGGCACCCCAAGATGCCCCAAGAGGCCCCCAAGAGGCCCCAAGAGGCCCCCGAGAGGCCTCAAAACTGCCTCCCAAAGGCCCCTGAGAAGCCAACCACGAGAGCCTAGCCAACATCCGTGAGGCCTCTGACCCGCCACCCACCGCCTCCGAAAAATGGCAGCCGCCCAACCGCACCGTATTGACAACAACACCCCGACAAACGACAGCGGCGAGGCAAGATGGGCCCGCGGAATGAGCGAAGCGATTCAACAATACGAAGAATAAGAAGAAATCGGAGGAGGAGGAGGAGGAAAGTGAGGAGGAGGAGGAGGACGAGGAGGATGAGGAGGAGGATGAGGAGGAGGAGGACAACGACGACGACGACGCCAAGGAAGGCGCCAGAAAGACGCACGGCCATGACGACCAGCAGGAGAAGAGGAGGTCGCGGGGGGCGAGGCGGAGGGGTGCAGAACTGGGCCCGGACCAAGGGGAGCCCCCCCGAACAGCAGGGGCAGGACCAACCCAAGCCAAGCCAAGCCCCCCGCCTCCTCCTCCTTCGCCTTTTTCCTCCCTCCCTCCATGGACCCTCTTCCCCAGGGATCCCATGTCACTGATGTGACGGCCGCGCACACACACAAGGCCCGAAACGCACCGTCCACGGCAATGGCTTCCGAAAGACACTGTGACAGTAGATCGAGGAGAATGCCGGGTGATGACGAGGTCAATCAATTGCGCTCGGGAGTGGCCAGCGGCAACAGGCAGGCACAAAGGAAGGGCGAAGTTTTCGAGAGGGGGGCGCTTCGTGTGCAGCGCGTGCGCGACGCTGGCAAGCCACCAGGAACGAATCTGGAACTCATGGCTGTCGTACCCGCTTCTTGCTGTAGGATCCCACCAACCCTGTAGGGTGTAGGTGGTCTAGAGAGCTGTCTCTTCCAACCCCCTTCTTCTCCTTCGGGGAGGGGTTTACCCCTCCCCCTACCACCCCACCCTGGACCTGGACGGAGGGGTTCGCGACGCGCTGGAACGTCCAAGATGCCAAATTCCTTCCTACAGAAATCAATGTGTTTTGCGTTCTCGCCTTTTCGCTTCTGATGGCCTTCCAAGGCCTCAGGATGGCTCCAAGATGGCCCAAGAGGGCTACCAGAGGGGCCAAAGAGGCCTCCAAGACGGCCCCAAGAGCGCCCACGAGCGCTCCAAAAGGGGTCCAAGAGGGGTCCAAGAGGCGATTGCTGGGCTCCCGATGGGGGAACAAGCTCCCATCTTTTTGGATCGATCCCCTCCAAGATGGCCCCAAGAGCGCTCCCAAGGCTCCCAAGAGCGCCTCGAGAGGGCCCAAGAGGCGTCCAGGAACCCAACGGAGGCGCCCAAGAGGCCTCCACGCCCCCAAGAGACCCCCAAGAGGCCCTACGAAGCTCCCCGGGGCACCCAAGACGCTCCAAGAGGCCCCTAGGCCCGACAAGATGCCCTCCGAAACGCCCAAAGAGGCCTCCAAAAAGCTGCCAGGCGACATCCGAGGACACTCCGAGAGGCAATCAAGAGGCTTCTGGCTCTATTGTTCGCTCCTTTCCTCCTCCTCCTCCTCCTCCTCCTCCTCCTCCTCCTCCTCCTCCTCCTCCTGTTCCTCACTCCTCCTCCTCCTCCTCCTCCTCCTCCTCCTCCTCCTCCTCCTCCTCTTTCTCCTCCTCCTCCTCCTGTTTCTTCTCCTCCTCCTCCTCCTCCTCCTCCTCCCTCCACCTCCTCCACTCTCCTCCTCCCTCCTCCACCTCCTCCTCCTCCTACATCTCGACCTCCTCTACCTCCTCCTCTCCTCCCACTCCTCCTCCTCCTCCTCCTCTCGTCCTCCCTCCTCCACGTCCCCCTCCTCCTCCTCCTCTCCTCCACGTCCTCCTCCTCCTCCTCCTCCTCCTCCTCCTCCTCGACGTTATCATCATCATCATCATCATCATCATCATCATCATCATCATCATCATCATCATCATCATCATCATCATCATCATCATCATCAGCAGCAGCAGCAGCAGCAGCAGCAGCGTCATCATGATCATCATCATCATCATCATCAGCATCATCATCAGCATCATCATCATCATCATCAGCCTCATCATCATCATCATCATCATAATCATCATCATCATCATCATCATCAGCATCATCATCATCAGCAGCCTCATCAGCATCATCAGCATCAGGACCATCACCATCACCATCACCATCACCATCACCATCACCATCACCATCACCATCACCATCACCATCGTCATCATCATCACCATCACCATCACCATCGCTATCTCCATCACCATCACCATCACCATTTCCATCACCATCACCACCATCATCATCATCATCATCATCATCAGCATCATCATCATGGAGCGGACCCCAACACCTCACGGCGGTCGGCCGCGCGCTGGAGCTGCCGATGCTCTGCTGGGGTGCGGCTAACAGCCGCGGGATGGTAGGAAGTGGTTTCGCCTGAGACCTGCCGATGCTCTGTAGGGGTGCGGCTAACAGCCGCGGGATGGTAGGAAGTGGTTTCGCCTGTCTGGGCGAGGACGTCGGTAGTGAGGGGACGATCCGATCTAGACTCGTCTGGGGTGCGGCTAACAGCCGCAGGAATGGTGAAATGATCCGGGTTTGATACTAAGGGCGCAACCGACCTGTGGGGCCGATCCCCACACTGAGAGGGGGGGCGGATAACAGCCGCGAAGATGGTAGCTCGGACTGGAGCACCACATGCGGGGGAGCACCAGAAGCAGGGGGGCGGCAAACGCCGCAGGGCGGTTGAAAATGCCGCAGCCAGATCGATCGATCTCCCGATCGGGCCAATCAGGGCCGAGACGAGTTCCGCAACGGCGAGTTCGAGCGGCACCAGCGGCCAGACGACCAGCCCGAGCAGGCCGGCGTACCCCTGGGGCCGCTCGGACTAGCCGCCGAAGAAAACGTCTCGACCAGCGAGGTCTTGAATGATCTAGTCGGAGGCATTGCGTGACCTTGTCGCAATTATCCGCAAGCGACGCGCCGCGGCCCATCGATTGCTGGCCGCCGGAGCAGCACGAAGGTGTCGCGTTTGCCCGCGCACTGAACGACATTGTGCTGCTCGCTTCAACCTCGTACACGCTGTTGCTTTTTGTCGTCGTGAATCTCACCGTGAAGGTGGCTGTGGGCGTCGCATGCTCCAGCCGTATTGTCCCTGGCCGTGCTGTTCGAGGGCACGCTGCTGATCGCCTGCGACATCCTGCGGCGACGATGCACTGGGAGTCACGGTGGTGGAGAATCAGTTGTGCGGCTGGTCACGCCCGAGCGGGCCGTCGTGCCGCTGGAGCCGCTCGTACTGGCCGCCAGAGACCTTGTCCCGGGCAGCGTGGTGTTGAATGCCCTTGTCGTATCCGCCAGCGTCCTGCCGCAGCTCACCGTGGTGCTGGCCGGCGTGGTGCTGCTCGACCGTGTCGCACACGTAGTCGTGCAGCTCGGCGCTGCGCTGCTCGTCGCGACCACGCACAAGGTGCTGCTCAATGTCGTTGTGGGAGTGGACATCCGACGCCATGCGCAAGCCCGTACTGGTCGTGACCGTGCAGCCCGGGGGCGCACTGTTGGGCGTCTGAAACGTACTGCTAGACAACGAGGCACTGGAAGCAACATGGTGGAGGATGCAGTTGTGTTGCTGGCCACGCTCGAGTAGGCCGTCGACCCCTGGTGCCGCACGTGCTAGCCGCTGAAGCTCGTCTCGACCAATGTGGTGTGAATGGCCTTGTCGTTTCTTTCGGCGTCATGCCACTGCTCACAGTGGTGTTGGCTGGACGGTGCTGCTCGACTGTGTCGCACTCGAAGTCGTACTGCTCGACGTTGCGTTGCCCAACACGCCCAACTTCACGCTGCAGCACGATGTCGACGTGGAGCTCATCGTGTATGTGGCCGTCGACGTCCCGCTGCCCAAGACCGTACTGGTCGTGACCGTGTTGCTCGAGGTTGCTGTGCTGGTCATGTAATACGTACTGCAATGCAACAATGCACTGGGAGTCATGCAGCGGAAAGTGCAGTTGTGTTGCTGGACGCGCTCGAAGTAGCCGCCGTGCTGCTGGTGCCGCTCGTACTGACCGAGGAAAACACGGCTCGCTCAGCGTGGGATCGAGTGACCCTGTCGTTTCCGTCAGCGTCGTGCCGCTGCTCACCGTAGTACTGGCCGGCGTGGTGCTGCTCGACTGCGTCGCACTCGAACTCGTACTGCTCGACATTGCGCTGCACGTCTCGACCCCGCTCACGCTGCTGCTGGTGGGGGTACGCAAAGCGTCTAGAATTCAATGATCTGTACATCGTTTTGGCCACCTCGTGCAAGGGAATGCATGCCTAGCCTGGCAGAGAGAATAGCCCGTGAGGACGAAGAGTAAAAATGAACCGCGTTCGGCAACTAAGTTCTCCCCCAGGGGAAGGGAACTATAAAATATCCGACATCTGGCATTAAGCGCTTCGGCGGTCAAAACAACACTAGGCATCCTTCTGATCATGACACAAACAGCTTCGATACACAACACAGCCGCGGAACACGGGCCGTCGCGAGTGCCCGCGTCGGCGTGTGCCAGAAAGCTCGCCCCTGCCGATATAATCGGCACTCGCGGATCAGGAGTGAACCCAAGACTCGCGTTCGACCAAGGTGCGCTTCACGAGATACTCAGCAAGCTGCTCAAACGCCCTCGGCTGCGATACGGCTGCATCATCGAAGTCCCCAGAAAGGCTTCTACCCCGCGTCAAGCATGGGGCAAAGGTTCCGACTGCTCTTGGGATCGATCAGAAAGTCTGCCAACTCACTGCGGACATGGGGGGCCGTTGGGGTCCGCCAGAACTACCGGGGGCTGTCTGCGCGCAACCCGAAGCCTTGCCAAGAAGGAGGAGGACATAGCCGACACCGAGCCAGACCTCCGATGTCGCGACTTGCTTAATAATAAGCTGGCCCGCCCTGTGGCTCTTGACCCCTCCCTGGGGACAGTCCTTCCCCCCCGGACCGTCTCGACACCTCTCCCAGTGTTCTTATTGGCGGCCCCTGGACTCGAAAATAACGGGCAGATGCCGAATCAAACAACTATCATCTTGATCTGTTTCAAGATACTGGAGTTCAGGGGACAACGACGACGACGACGACGACGACGACGACGACGACGACGACTACGACTACGACGACTACGACCACGAAAGCGAAAACTAAAACGACGACAAAGACGAAGACGACGACAACAACAACGACGACACCAACGACGACGACGACGACGGCGGCGGCGGCGGCACCGGCGGCAATGACTACTACGGCGGAAGCGACGACAAAAGCGACGACAAAAGCGACCACGACGACGACGACAAAGCGTCTCCCGCCCCTCCTTGTCGCGCTCCTTGTCTCGCCGACGCCCGCGGCCGCGTCTCCCCCGCGAGCCGCTGCCTCCGGCCCAGCAGGCCCGGGGATCGATCCCCAGAACGTCATCATCATCATCACCACCACCACCACCACCATCATCACCAACCACCACCATCATCACCATCATCATCATAACCATAAATCATCATCATCATCATCATCATCATCATCATCATCATCATCATCATCATCATCACCATCATCATCGTTATCAGCATCCTCATCATCATCAGCATCATCATCGTCCTCATCCACATCATCATCACAACATCATCATCATCATCATCATCATCATCATCATCATCATCATCATTATCATCAACATCATCAACAACATCATCAACAACATCATCAACCACATCAGCATCATCGTTCATCACCACCACCACCACTATCATGATCCTCATCTTCATCATCCACGTCATCATCACCATCACCATCATCAGCATCATCAACATAATCAACAACATCATCATCAACAACATCATCATCATCATCGTTCATCACCACCACCGCTACCACTATCAGAATCCTCATCATCCTCATCCACGTCATCATCATCATCATAGTCATCATCATCATCACCGTCCCCATCACCATCACCATCACTATCATTATCACCACCGTCGCCCTCACCATCACCATCACAATCATTATCATCACTGTCACCATCACCATCGTCATCATCATCATCAGCATCAACAGCAGGATCAGCATGATCAACGTGATCATCCTTCCCCATCATCATCATCATCAACAGAATCATCATCATCATCAGCAGCAGCATCATCATCCGCGTCAGAATATCCATCATTACCCTCATCATCATCAGCGGCAGCATCTGAAAGTCATCATCAGCATCATCATCATCTCCGCGAATCCTCCCAGCGCCAGCGCACACGCACAAAAGCGCGAGCGCATGCACTGCACAGACGTGCGTGCGTGCGCGCACACACGCACACACACACACACACACACACACACACACACGCACACGCACACGCACACGCACACGCACACACACACACACACACACACACACTCGCGGGCGAGCCACCCGCGCGAACCAGCACGGCGGCGCGCTCGCCAAGCGCAGGGGTGGTTGAGCAGCCTGCGGAGCTGCTCGAGCTGGACCTCGAGCGCCCTTTTCTTCGGCCGCCCCTCCTCTTCTTCCTGGCGGTCGGGGAACCACTGGGTCGGGAGGCGGGAGGAGGGAGGGCAGCGGCCCGTGCCGGAGGCGGCGCGGACCCTCCTCCCTGGCAGTGCGCCGGGCTGGACGATGGAGCGGCGTCTGGGTGACACTCGGCGCAGAGAGGGAGGGAGGGGAGGGAAACAGGGAGGGCGCTGCGCCGCTGGATCTGGCCCACCACGCTTCGGCGCGACACGCTCAGCGCGTCCCAGTCCCCACGGGCCATCCCAGGCTTTTCCCAGCCTCGCATCCCGCCAAGCAGAGCGACAACCGTGTGACCCCAAGGCGCGAAACACATTCCGGGTGACACTCGGCGAGAAGGCAGGGAGGGAGGGGAGGGACGACGACAAGCGAACGACTGAGGAGGAAGTAGAAAGGAAAGTCTGCGAGTCACCGCGAATAGACACCGAAGCACCACAAGCACACGCCACATCATGACGAGCAGTCGCCGAATCACCACAAGCGGACGCCGAGCCACTACAGAAGATGAGCGGTGGTGTCCTCTGTGTTCCAGCGAGTCTGTAAGTTCTGGCGAGTCGGGTCTGGCGGTCGAGGCAAGCCTGGCGAGCTTGCAGGAATCGGCCTGGCGACTCTATGGTGCGCAGCCCGTACCAGGGCTCGGACACTCTGCGGTGAAAGCAACGGGGGCGCGCCTTCGAGCCGACCCGTGGTGCATCAAAGCTGGTCGTGTCATGAGATTGCTCGGCTTGCTTGGCTGCACCCTGTCACGCATGTACCATTTGAGCTGTTGCCAGCCCTGCCGTGCTAAAGTGCTCTTAGGATTACGACTCGTGTGGTATGTCGCCGCGCCGTTTGTCCTCGACGCGCCCAAGTGGACGACGCCGACACCACCGCAAACCCTCGGCGAGCCTTGCGCCCCGCACCAAAGTAGACAATGCCAGCACCGCGGCAAACCCCTCGGAAAACCCTGCGCCCAAGGCGGCGTTTGCCCTGGTGGCCGCGGCGCCCTCCCCAAGACGCACGGCCGCGCGTCGGACCAAACGGCGCGGCGACATATGCCGAGGGGTACCTGCCAAGAGAGCAATCCTGGATGTCTGCACAGTTTGGGGTGGCCTGGCCTGCCACGGTCGTTCCGTCTTGGCTCCAAGAGCAGTGCCACTATCGAGACCCCAGCGCCGCCTCCGAAAGGCAGCCTGTCCTGTGTCTTCCCCTCTAAAACGAGATGATCGCGTTGCGTCGGCCAGCGGGCAGAAAGAGCAACTCCGACAGCCCAGTTGCAGCAGCGGGGGACTCACACTGCGGGGGACTCACATTGCGTACATCGGTATGGTCCTCCATCCTCCACCTCCCCTCTCCTCCGACAGGACCTCCCAAAGATTTACCATCTGATGCGTTACATTATCTCTGTGCTATCCTCTCCTCTCCTCGTATACCTCCTCTGCTCTCGACTGTTTTCCTGCCACTTTCCGTTCCTCACTTCCTGTCTTCTCATATCATCGACTATATATTATCAGGTCCCTTCCTCCCACTCACCCTCACCCATTCCAATGATGTGCTATCCCTTCCGAACGCCCTTCGCTCGAACTCTGGGGCACCTGGCTTCCGAAAACCAAGGAATCCACGCCCTTGACAGGACTTGCACTGAACAAATTTGGTTGGTACCAAGCGAATATGCACTCGGCGCCAGGATTTGCAACGGTGATCCGGCGCTGAGCAGCAATAGAGCCCTCAAGATCTCTTACGTGTGGTCAGCCGATACAGTGACCAGAACATGTCCCTCCTCGTGGTCAGATGTGAGTTCCCTGCGATGCGATCCCACACGTAGGGTCCCGCAAAATCGATGGGACATATAATGCGCCCTACTGGTGACACTCCACGTGTTCCTTCGCCTAAACGGAATTAGAACCTACCCCCCGCCGAAGCCGGGCGTATCCGCTCCCCTCGGCACATTGCGTTTTTACTTTGCACGACCGTTGATTCAATCCTCCCCCAACGCCAGGCGACCCAACCACATCTCGAATCAAAAGGTCACTAGGCAAACCTGAACAACGAACAAGCCGACCTACGACAGGCAAACTGATGCAATGAACCGTGGCCTGAACAACAAATCGAGAACGCGCTTGCGACAGGAGGAAAGAGGACGGAGGAAGAGGAGACGAGGAAGGGGAGTGGGCAGCGCGGCTGCTGAGAACGGCTGCCAAGCACAACGGTGGCTTAAAACCCTGGGGCCACGGAGCGTGTGAGGGGTGTGCCGAAATGAATGGCGGGGACGCATGCGAACTATGCCACTGGGACCTTCGGCGGAGCTCCTATGGGGCCACGAAACGTGTAAGGGGTATGCCGACATGAATGGAGGGGACGCATGCGAACTGTGCCACCGGGACCTTCGGCGGAGCTCCTATGGGGCCACGAAACGTGTGAGGGGCGTGCCGAAATTAGTGGCGGGGACGCATGCGAACTGTGCCACTGGGACCTTCGGCGGAGTTCCTATGGGGCCACGAAACGAATGAGGGGTGTGCCGAAATAGTGGCGGGGACGCATGTGAACTGTGCCACTGGGACCTTCGGCGGGGCTCCCTATGGGGCAACGAAACGTCTGATGATGTCGATGATGCTGATGTTGATGATGATGCTGACGACGATGATGACGATGCTGATGATGATGACGACGATGATGATGATGATGATGCTGATGCTGATGCTGATGATGATGATGATGATGATTTTCCTCGACGTCAGGACCAACATATGGTATCAGGATATGGTGTACAATGAAACCAAATTTAAAGTGACAAAAAAAAAAAAAAAAAAAAAAAAAAAAAAAAAAAAAAAAAAAAAAAAAAAAAAAAAAAAAAAAAACAAAAAAAAAAAAAAAAAAAAAAAAAAAAACAAAAAAAAAAAAATAATAAAAAACAAAAAAAAAAAAAAAGAAAAAAAAAAAAAAAAAAAAAAAAAAAAAAAAAAAAAAAAAAAAAAAAAAAAAAAAAAAAAAAAAAACAAAAAAAAAAAAAAAAAAAAAAAAAAAAAAAAAAAAAAACAAAAAAAAAAAAAAAAAAAAAAAAAAAAAAAAAAAAAAAAAAAAAAAAAAAAAAAAAAAAAAAAAAAAAAGAAAAAAAAAAAAAATAAAGTGATCCGTCGCAGAGAGCCGACTGTCTCGCGTTGCCCCGCTTGGGCCAGACTGCCAGGGTGCTGCTCGGAGGGGCCTCCTGGGCAGCGCGTGCCAAGCAGCGTCGAAATGCTAGCTTAGATATTCGGCCGCTTCTCCTTCGGCGGCTGTATCATGCTCAGGTGGGGCCCCCCCCTCACACTGCTCCTCTGGATGTGCTGGCACGGCAGGGGGGGAGTGGAGGCGCGACGGAGGAGGGGGGGCATGTGGCCGGCCGTGACCGCGCCGCTGCTGGCAGGGAGGTCTTTGCCTCGAACGAAATTGACGCGGCGTTGAAACGCCTCCTCTCCGCCGCGGCCTGCACTGTGGCCTGCAGGCTCGCTCTGGCAGAAAAAGACGGGTTCACTGCTCGAGCGTCTCTAGCCTCCTCCTCGAGCCAGCCCACTGGACCCACGTCTCGGCGGTGGACCGCCTGGCCCTCGGCCTCGAGGGCGCGGCTGATCAGGATTTGGCCCTCCCACATGGGCGCGCCTAGCGCGCCGATCACCAGCTTCGTCTTGTCGTGGTCGTAGCACTTTTCCAGGCGCACGAAGTTGATGGCGTCGAGGATATCCTCCTTGCTGATCTCCGTCTCCGCCTCGATGTCCTCGATGGCACCCTTCATGGAGCCGCCCACGTCGCACTTGTACAGTCATTCTGGGGCCGTCAGCGCGCGGGACGGAGCTGGCGACCCTATCCCCTGCAGGCATTTATCGTCCTCTGGGGGGCCGCTCTTCCTGAGGGGGTCCATAATGTGCTCGTAGCTTTCGTGCTCCTGCGTGATGGCATCTACCTGCTTGCCATGCTCGTCGTAAATGTCTAACTGCATGATATTGATGTTCCGTTCGGCCTTCTTCGTAGCCCGTGAATGCCCAGTGAGGCCAGGGTGTCCTGCTTACCGATGTTCTGTGCGTGTTGAGTTCCATTCTGTATGAGTCCTATCCTCAGATACAATCGCCATAAATGATCGAAACAGTGAGATAAACGTACGCATGCATGAACGTCCTGAATCACATTGCCAGTGGGTTTTTTTTTCCTTTTTTGCCGATGTCGAAAGTCTGGATGAGGGTGAAGCTGACGTCGTGATCGATCTCGAGCTTCCGTCGACTGGGGTGATAGACTCGCTCAGCGAGCGGGTCCGCGTATTGATAATCTGCAGTGTCATGTCCCATTCCTGCCCTTTGAACACCAGTGCGCATCAGGTGCTGTAGGGCGAGGAGCATGATGGTGAGTTCGATGGGCCTTGAAGAAAAGTGGGTGGGTCGTCGGACTGGAAATTGATGATCAGGGCGCTCGTCACCAGGGTCACGTTCATGTCGACCTTTAAGTCCAGGTGGCAATTCAAGTCCAGCGTGCAGTTGTTCCACTGGTGGCGGTTCAGGTGCAGCGTGGTGTAGTCCTGCACGTACTGGCCCTCTGTGTTCGTGAAGACGTTGAAATTGAAGTTCATCGTCCAGTCGTCCAGGGTCAGCGTGTCGTGCTCCTGCATGTGATGGCCCTCCATGTCCGTGAAAAAGTTGGAATTGACGCTCAGCGTCCAGTAGTCCTTCGCGAGCTGGGTGTATAGGTAGTGGTCCAGCGTCCAGCAGTTCGGGGTCAGCGTGTCGTAATCCTTCATGTGCTGGCCCTCTGTGTTCATGGAGATGTAGCTCAGCGTCCAGTCCCGCACGTACTGGCCCTCTGTGTTTGTGAAACGTTCAGCGTCCAGTCGTTCAGGGTCCGCGTGTCGTAATCCTGCATGTGCTGGCCCTGTATGTTCGTGATGATGTTGGGATTGATGCTCAGCGTCCAGTGGTCCTTCGCAGTGTGGGTGCGGGGGTAGTAGTCCAAGTGGCAAGTCACGTTCAGCGTGCAATTGTTCCACTGGTGGCAACTCATGGGCCGCATGGTGTGATCCTGCCTGTGCTGGCCCTCTGTATTCGTGAGGATGTTGTTGTTGAAGCTCAGCGTCCAGTAGTTCAGGGTCAGCGTGTCGTAATACTTCAGCATCGGCATCGTCGTCTGGCTGGTGGTCAGGTGCATGGGCCATGCGCTCGTCCATGTTCCTGATGTCAGCGAGCGAGTTCTGTGCTTAGCAGGTGCGCGGCGCCCGCGCTCCGGAGCACGTCCATGGCGGCATGGCGGTATGCGGGGTATCGTCAAGAGGCCCCCTGCCTTTCGGGCAGGGCGAGGGGGCGGTGACTGGAGGCCGCTGCTCCATCAATGGCCTGAGCGCGCGGCGGCCTTTGATGATGATGATGATGATGATGATGATGATGATGACGACGACGACGACGACGACGACGACGACGACGACGAGGATGATGATGATGATGATGATGATGATGATGATGATGATGATGATGATGATGATGATGATGAGGATGATGATGATGACGAGAAGAGGGGAGGAGGGAGGAGGAGGAGACGCGGGGACCGTCTCTTCAAAACGAGGACCCAACAACACAGGTTGGTTGGGAACAAGAGACACCACCAATGCAGGAAGGCGCACGGAGGGGCCCACGGAGGCGGAAGTCAGACTCGTGGAAGAAATCCGTCAAGATAAAGCGCAAGTGCACGTCGGAGGCGGAAGTGCGGTCATCGACAAACTGGGTGGTCTTTAGCTGCGCCTGGTCTGGGTTCCCAGACATCCACGTCAACCCGCTGCGTCGTGTTGCGGGAGCCCTCCAAGACCTCCTCCCGCTGCCCATGGCAGAGGCAGCTTCAACTGCAAACTGACGCGCGGAGACGGGTAACTTAACAGACTGGCGGAACGCGTATGATGTGCCTACAGCTGCGAGAGTCGAGAAAAGAGAACGATGGGCCACCCCTCACTTGGAAGTCACCTGTGGGGCCCGAAGATGCCAGAGCCTGACCAGGCAAGACCTTGAGCTCAAGGGTTGAGTCCCGAGCATGGCCTTGAGCCAAACTTGAGCCAAAGAGTTACGGTGACATACACGCACACGAACTTTGTTTTGTGGGTCTCGCGGCCTCGCGCGCAGCGTCGAGGCGTAGGAGGTCGGAAAGCGGAGAAGCGCACGCACTTCCGGCCCACTCAAAGCCAGGGGCAGAGAGCCACCGAACGCACACACACACACACACACACACACACTTTCCTCCGACGTGCTGGAGAGCCCAATCAGCGGAACGAAACGATGGGGGTCACCCTCGAAGCAAAGTTGCGCCATTGTGAAGCAGCGTAGCTGACCTGAGAACCTCGCACAGGCCGCACATAGGCGACAACAGGGGAGAAAAGCCGAGCTGTGCATGACAGAGAAAACATGCGAGAAAGCCGACGGCTGGAACGACCTGCAGAGGTGACAGGAGGGACACACACCTACCCACACTTTCCCGTACGCGCGAGCGCACCGTAAAAGCATCCAAATGCAAAATCATAAACACTGTTCAACCCGAGTGCTGGCCAAAAGTGCTGTGCCCCGTTCGCATGTGAGTCGCGTGTGCTAATAACGAACGCTGTCTTGAACGTGTGCTTCTAGGTAACCAGGACCCCAAAATGCACGCGAGCCCGCAGGATGATGCGAGCAGGAAGAGTTCTGAGCAAATGAAATCGAAAGGGAGTGGGGATCCTGCGGGGAGGGGTGCTCCCTCCATCATGCCAATACTCTCTCCGCCCTTCTCAATTATGATCCTATCCTCCTCTGTTCGCCTCTCCATGGCTCAGTCTGGCAAGCAGCATAGGCTTCCAAAACAAAAAACTGAATGCGATCTGCACGGTGCTCCGCATGATGTGTTGTGGCGTTTGAAAAGTCGAACAACGATTCCAGCGTTGACCCCGAAAAGTGAATTGGTCCAACGTGCGTGGCCCGATGCAACGCGATGCAGAGCAAAGACACCCGCCACCGTGCCCCAAAGCGCGAAGCGGAGTGTCCTGGGGCCCGCGAGCTCGCTGCAGGACCCACGGCACAACCCATGAGGCTCAACCTAGGCCGCCCGAAACTTCCCGCGGGCCAACGGGGTCTTTGGGGCGGGGCCTCAACCTGTGCAGATCACCCTAGGGCACCCAAAGCTTCCAGCGGGCGAAAGGGACCCCATGGGCAACCTGTCCCACCCTGTCAGAGCTTTCAGCGGGCGCTGGCGACTCGAGGAAAGGGACCCGTGGTACAACCCATGCGGCGCAGCCTATGCCGCCCAGAACTTACCGCAGGGCCGTGCCCAGTTCCTGGACCCTCGATCCTCAGACCCCCGTCCTCCTCCTCGATGCCCAACAACTCTTTGGAACTTGATACCATCCACGTCTCCCCCTCCAATCGTCCTCCCTCCGTACGAGATGAAAGAGGCATGAAGCTGGGGGGGCACCGTGTCCTACCGCTGCGCTCGCTGCCGGACTCGGACTCGCTGTCCTCGTCCGAGGCGGTATCCTCCTTGGGCGCCTTGTCCTTCTCCCCGCTCTTCCCCCCCTTCGTCCTGTCCCTGCCCTTTTCATCTCCCGCCTTCTTCTCCTTCGACCTCACCTTCCCCTTGTCTTTCGCCTTCTCCTTCTCCTTGTCCTTGCCCCTTTCCTTGCCTTTCCTCCTAGGGCTGGCCTTGTCCCCGCCAGTCGACTTGTGCTTGCTGCTGTGCTTCTCATCCTGGTCGCTGGCGCTGTCGTCGGCCTTTGCCTTCTCTTTCGCCTTGCCCTCCTTGCTCTTCGCCTTATCCTTTGCGTCTTCCTTGACTTCCTTCTTGGCCTTGTCCTTTCCCTTGGCCCTCTCCTTGTCCTTGTCCTTGTCCTTGTCCTTATCCTTGTCCTTGTCCTTGTCCTTGTCCTTGTCCTTGTCCTTTCCTGCCCTGCCCTTCGAGGCTCCCCTACTCTTCTTCCGGCGTTTGCGGCTGCGGCTGCTAGAGTCGCTCTCGGAGCGCGAGCTCTTTTGCCTCTCCTTTGCCTGCCCGACCCCGTCGGGGCCGAAGACAGGAGGGGAAGGAGGAGGAGAAGGAGCAGGAGGAGGGGAAGGAGCAGGAGAAGGAGGAGGAGAAGAAGAAGGAGGAGGAGGGGACTCGCCATGGTTCGGACATCCCTTCCTCGCGCATTTGTCCGATCTCGTACGTGTATATTTTGCAGGAGATGGTCCGAGATGCTCCTTGATGGCCCTCGCCGAGGTGCGTGTATCTTGTCGCAGCATGATCCAAGATGCTCCTCAGGGGTCATCGCCGATGGGAAAAAGGGAAAAACAAAAAGACAACAACAAATATCCCAGCAAAGCAACCTAACAGCCATGTGTATGAGCATGTATGGAAGCATTCTTCCTTAGATTCATGTTCGGATTTGACTGGAAGCGAAACGCTGCGATCAAAGGTGGACGTGTCTGCAAAGGAGGCACTACTATCAACGAGACAGCACATTCTTTTTGTGCTCATTCCAAACGAGACGCCGCTATGCAGGGGCGTAGGTGCAAACGAGACGCTGCTATCAATGGTTTCCGCCCCAAACGAGACACGAGTATCAGTGGATTTAATTTCGAACAAGACACTACCACTTACTACTACGGATGCGTCTGGAAACGAGACGCTGGTATCAATAGTGGATGTCTCTGCAAAGGAGGCACTGCTATCAACGAGACAGCACATTGTTTTTCCGTTCATTCCAAACGAGACGCTGCTATCAATGGGTGTAAGTCCAAACGAGACACTGCTATCAATGGATTCAGCCTCAAACGAAACGCGCTGAGGAGCACCGTATTTCACTATCCACGGCTGCACACAAGTGCAGTTTGAGAAGCACCACACGAATGCAGGCTGAGAAGAACCACGCGAATGCAGACGGCCAGGCTGAACAGCACCGCCACATAGCAGGCTGCATCTCAGGGCTCCTCAAGCTCGCGCAGGCCAGCCCAGCGCCTGTCGGGCCTTCGCGCAGGCGATTTTTGTCGCGGCAATCTTGTCTGCAAAGAATTCGTCGAAGGCCTTCGCGATCTGTTCTGGGGGGCCTGACTCGATGATGCTCCGGTCAGGCAAGCCGTGGCTCAAGAGCTGGCCGAAGCTCCGGGGCCGCGACAGGCTGACATAGTAGGCCAGCCAAATGGACTCTTTCTTGAGTCCTGGCGGAAACGCCCAGTGCACGATGAAGCCTGGGTCCGCCGTCTTGCCCTGCACGCCATGCAGAGTGCCCTGCTTCTTGGGCAGCACGGTCAACTGTGTCCTGGAGACCGTGATGGCCGGGCCATCCGCCGCTGCTTTGAACTTCCAGGGACGGGCCTGCGGGGCAATCGCGAGCACTCCACGCAGGCCAGGGCCGGCAGGCCGAGAAGCACTGCCAGCAGCCACCGGCGCGGCCTTCAAGAAGAGCTCATCGCTGTCATCGATCTTGACATAGACGGCCTTGGGCATGTAGCGGAGTACCGCAACACCATCCGAGACAACGGACGCACGACCCTCCACCGGAAGCTCCAGAGCGCGCTTCTCTATGCCTACCACCTTGCCCGGCGCGCCGCGGACATACTTAGGCGGCGAGACGGACTCCGTCAGGATGACCTCCACGCCGAGGAAGAGCGGCAGCAGCCCCGGCATTTTTCCAGTAGCGCCGATGTTGGGCTCCGCGCGCATCTTGTCGAAGTCAGGCTTCGCGAGGCGCGCAGCTGGTCTGTCGACTGCCGGCACGTAGAAGAGCAGCTGGCCAGCATCGCGCGCATCAAGCTTGGCCTGCGCATGCATGGCGTAAGAGACGATGCGCCACTCATATGCCGACTCGTACCAGCCTCGGGCTGCACGCAACAGGTGGTCCCACTGGGGTTGCTGAGCGGTTTCGCTGGCGCTGGCAGCAGGCTGACCAGCACCGCTGGAGCTAACGATCTCTGTTTTGAGGATCGCTTGCCAGCTCTCGTCAGAGATCTTTTTGCCGCCTGGAGTCCTCATGGCGTGAAGGACCTCGAGCTGCAGCGGGTCTGTGAAGCGCTGCATCTGCACGAAGTCGACGACGAACTCCAAGTCGGCGAGCAACTTCCGAGCCTGTTGGTGCTCGTAGGACTGGCCCGTGCGAGGCGCCAGCAGGGAGGCGCTGGCGGGGGCCGGAGGTAACTGGTAGAAGTCCCCGCAGAGGATCTTCGCCGGCATGCCCCACGTCTCCTGCGGGAGCATGTACTTGGTAGAATCGAGGTTGTAGCGCAGCGCCCTGCCGTAGGTCGCGCGCAGTGCATCCGCATGCAGCAAGGGCCCCGGCACAGCAACCAGCTCATCGATCACGTCGACGCCGAGTGTGCCTGTGAGGCGGTCGAGCTTTTTCTGCGTCTGCGAGGTCAAACGCAGCCTGGCGGTCTGCAGGGAGTCCGACATGAGGATGCCGTTGGAGGAGTGCAGCGTCCTCCCGCGCGGGCCGAGGTTGTGGGCCGCGTGGTTGGACTGTGCTTTGGCAAGGTGGCCGTGCTCGCCGAAGTAGATGATGGCCATAGGCCCCACCACTCTGGAGAGGGTGCGTGTCTTGCCGACACCGCCTCCTCCGAGCCAGATTGCTCTGTGGTTGCCCGTTGCGGACACCACGGGGAGCAGATGCGTTTCTTGTCTGGCCTGGCGTCAAAACGTTTCTGCAGGGACAGAGCGAACAACGCCGCCGCGTCAATCTGCCCCTCCGCGCACTCTGCATCAGCGACCAGCTTCCACGCAACAGCCGCCGGGCCCTGCATGGCCAAGAGCTGCGGCACGAGCTCCGGCTGCGCGTCCTCAGCAGCAGGCCGAGGAGCACCACTGGGTTGCCAGTCGCCCCCAGCATCGGGCACGGTCTCTCCATCCGGACTCGCTTGCTTCTTCTGGAGCGCAATGCTCTGCCGCTGTAGGGCCAGCATGTCAAAGAAGCTATCGTCCAGCCGCGTGCCCAAATGCTCCCGCGCGCCGCTGCTGGCTGGCTGCGCAAAGCTCGCCTGCAGCATGCCGCCGTACGCTCGGCCCAGGTTCTTCAGCTGAAATCCGCGTAGCTGAGGCGGCTCTTCTGGCTCAAGCGCTGCAGTTGGTCTTGCTGCAGAGCCAGCTCGGTTGCTCTGGTGTGGTCCCGCAGCGGAAACATGGAGATCTCGGTAATTTCGGCGTCCTCAACTTCCTCCTCTACGTCGCTGCCACCGCCTCCGCCCACGTACACGAGCTCCGGCGGGACCCGGCCCTTGGGCCCTTCGGCATCGCTCGCGGAGTCCTCCTCCGCCTCCAGGTGCGCAGCCGCTGCCGGCCGAGGCTTAACCCGCGCCTCCGCCGCGAGGTCCACGCGCGCCAGCACGTCTCGCGCCACGTGCTACGCCCAGACGACCGCGGGGCCAAGCCCGCGCGGTCGCCCGCAGGCGACAGGGCGCCCTGGCCCTCTTCGTGAGCGCGCAGGCGCGTGGCGCACTTCATGCGCATGATTGCCCGCTGAAGCGCCCCGCGGCACGACAGCGACGGTAAAAGGACAAATTCGGTGACGCTGGAGCCCCCAATGCGACGAGGAAACTACAGATGCATCTTCTGTGACACTGGAGCTCCACAGGACAAGTCAGCTCAGCCTGCCTCAGCCTCAGCCTGCATCAGCCTCAGTCTCAGCCTCAGCCTGCGTCAGTCTCAGCCTGCTGCGCTCCCGCATACCCATTCGGCCTCAGCCTGCCTCAGCCTCAGCCTGCATCAGCCTCAGCCTTAGCCTCAGCCTGCCTCAGCCACAGCCTGCTGCGCTCCCGCATACTCCTGCGGCCTCAGCCTGCATCAGCCTCAGCCTGCATCAGCCTCAGCCTCAGCCTCAGCCTCAGCCTGCCTCAGCCTCAGCCGCACCTCCGATGGCGCCGAGGTGGCTCCCGTGCGTACCTGCACCCACGGAACTCACCTCCGATGGCGCCGAGGTGGCTCCCGTGCGTACCTGCGCGCACGGAACGCTTCTCCGATGGCGCCGAGGTGGTTCCCGTGCGTACCTGCACGCACGGAACGCACCTCCGATGGCGCCGAGGTGGCTCCCGTGCGTACCTGCACGCACGGAACGCACCTCCGATGGCGCCGAGGTGGCTCCCGTGCGTGCCTGCACGCACGGAACGCACCTCCGATGGCGCCGAGGTGGCCCCCGTGCGTACCTGCACGCACGGAATGAGCTCCGCCGGATTCTCCCGGTTTCTGCCGGCTTCCGCCCGGACCCCCCTGGAGTGTCATGATGCTCTCTTTTGACCCTACTAGAAGCCTATCAGCACAAGCTGTTAAGTAAAAACGTCCGAGCGATGCCCAGGGGAGCTCGTGGGGCCCGCTCCCGAACGATTCCGCGGCGTGGAGCCTGGAGGCCGGGGACTGCGCCTGGCGCCCCCCGGGGGGGGGAACGGCCCTGCGCGGAGCGAGGCGGGCGCACGATCGATCTCACTGTCGATCTGTCGGTCTCAGGATCGATCCCACGATCACGATCGGTCACGCAGTCGATCTCACTATCGATCTCACGATCGATCTCACGATCGATCTCACGAGCTACCATCGAAACACAACGGCGGGACACCCAGAGCCACCGCTGGGACACCCCGCGCCACGACGAGGCAACCCGCGCCACCGGCGGGGCAACCCCGCGTCACCAACGGGGCACCCCGGGCACGGCGCGCGCGGGGTGGGGGCGATCAAACGACTCCACGGCCCCTAGCCACGGCGGCATCATGACTCTCGCGCGCCCGCGCAGCTTCGCCTCGCCCGCACGCCCGACCATCGATCTCACGATCGGTCTCACTATCGATCTCACTATCAATCTCACGATCGACGGGACACCGCGGCGGGACACCGCGGCGGGACACCGCGGCGGGACACCGACGGGACACCGACGGGACACCGCGGCGGGACACCGACGGGACACTGACGGGACACCGACGGGACACCGACGGGACACCGACGGGACACCGACGGGACACCGACGGGACACCGCGGCGGGACACCGCCCGGAACCGCCCGCCCATGGGGGGGGGGATCGGTCAGCAGTTCTTGCCCCGCCCTAGCCACAGCGGAGTCATTATTTTCGCCCACCCCCGCAGCTTCGCCTCGCCCGCACGCACGACACGAACCCGAAACCGAAACCGATTTCCCAGTGGGGGGCTATCCCTTCCACTTCGATCTCACCCCTCAAGCTCCGATACAAATCGGGACACCAATCGGGAAACCACCGCGACACATCGGGACACCACGGGGACATCATCGGTACACCACTGAGACACTATCGGAACACCATCGGGACACCGCGGGACACCACGGGACACCACGGGACACCAATCGGAACACCATCGGGACACCACTGGGACACCAGCGAGAAACCATCGGGACACCAGCGGGACACCACCAAGACACCATCGGAACACCAACGCCACGGGACAATACGGGACACCACGGAACACCACGGGACACCATCGGGTCACAACGGCAGGATACCCCCGGCCACCGCTGGACAACCCGGGGAGGGGGGCGGTCTTTTGGCCTGGCGGCGCCTTAGCCAGAGGGTTCATTCCTCTCGCCCGCCCACGCAGCTTCGCCTCGCCCGCACGCACGACACGAACGCGAAACCGAAACCGATGTCCCGGTAAGGGAGTCTCCGTTCCACTTCGATCTCACCTCCCAACCTCCGATGGTCTCTTGGTCTCCATGTTAGCAATCGCGCCACTATGCCGCGAGGCACGAGTTGGAGTGTCCTCAGGTCCTGTAGTCCTCAATCCTCTGGATTGAGGACTACAGTGGAGGCCAGTCCACGAGAAGCCTTCCACAAGAAACCCAACCCTGAGACACCAGGACGCCCATGGATTGTTTGGTGAGGGAACGTCACGCTTCCCATGGCAAAGACATCGAAACCCAAGAAACCTGGGGCACCCTGGAGACAAGCAAGGTGCTTCTTGGCATGGGTCTCCACTGTAAGGGGCCATGACCCCAGATTCTCAAATCTCCTGGGGCTCCCCGCGGCTCTCCCGAGGGTCCCCGCGCGTGGTCGCATGATTTCTGTCGCGCCCAGAGGGTCTCCAAGACGGGCCCAAGGAGGGTCCCCAAGAGGCTTTTCAGACGGCACAGGAGGGGTCCGAGTTGCCGAACGATCGGTCCAAGACGCCCCAGGTGTCCTCCAGACGGCCCAAGAAGCCTCCAAGACGCTCGAAGAAGTTCCCCGAGGGGCGAAAGTCATCAAGTTCCCTTCAGCGTGTTGAATGATGTTCGTGTTCTCGCCGTTTCTGTCCTCCAACGCTTCCCAACGGCCCACACAACGTCCCACGAGGCCCCCAAGATCGTTCCATGAGGGCCAAAGAGGCCCCCAAGACGGCCCAAGAGGGCCCCAAGACGGCCCAAGAGGCCTCCAACACGGCACAAGAGAGCCCCAAGGCGGTCCCAAGAGGGGCCGTAGAGGGGGAACACGGACTGACTGTTCGCGCCCTACGCCCCAGGAGGGCTCCTGAGACCGCCAGCAGGCCCCCCAGAAGCCCTCAAGAAACCACAAGAGGACACCCAGAGGCCCAAAAGAGGCCCCAGAACGGCCCCCAAGAGGCCTCAAAATTGTGTTTAAGAGGCTCCCGAAAGGCCTTCCCGAGATACCTAGAACACTCTTCATCCTACTCCTTGTTTTCTGCAATGCCCTCTGCAGTGATCCTTCTCATACTGCAACGTGGTGTCTCGAGATATTCTACCGCCGAGGAGGGGGGGGGAATTCGAGCCCGCCTTCCGAAGCCTCCGAAGCCATGGGGTCCTGGGAGGGTTCCCCGCCCCTCTCGCCTCCCCCCCTCCTCCCCCCCCTCATTCACAGCAGAGCTAGCCTGGAGGACGCAGCTGGCTCTGGTGACCTGGCCGGGCAGCGGGGGCAGCTATACTGCGAGGGCACCCGCGGCCGAGCGAGGCTTCGGCTCCGCCTCGGGGCGCACGCTTCCGCTGGCAGTCTCTGCCGCCCCTCCTGGTTCAGCAGAGAACTCCGAAGAGTTTCCCCCCACCCCTCTCTCCCCGTCGAGTCTGTCGGGCGTGGGCTGACGTCAGACGCGACGAGGGGGACCGACATCGAGGCCAGACAACGAGCGCAGCGAGGGCCCCTCCTCCCCCTCCTCCTCCTCCTCCTCCTCCTCCTCTCTCCTCCTCCTCCTCCTCCTCCCCTCCCCTCCTCCTCCTCCTCCTCCTCCTCCTCCTCCTCCTCCTCCTCCTCCTCCTCCTCCTCCTCCTCCTCCTCCTCCTCCTCCTCCGCCTCCTCGCAGGGGGCGAGGCTGGGAGGATGAGGAGAAGCCAAGTCCAGACAGAGTAAGCCTAGGCCTAGACGGAGGTCGAGCACTCCGTGCTGACTTGCTCCGCCCGGACTCAGCACCCTCCGGGACGAGGACCCCCCCCCGCGCGCGCTGCCCGGCGGCCGCGGCTGCTGTCCGAGCCACCCCCGCGGCCCATCTGCCGGCGGGACCCCCGGGCGGCGACCTCGGCGCCCGAGCTGAGAGCGCAAAAGGGGCCAGCCGAGCGCACGGCCGAGCGCCGGGCGCCGGGCGCAGAGCGTCGAGCGTCAATCGTCGCCGCTGCCGCCGTCGTCGTCGGGAAGCGTTGGAGGTAGTCGAGCGTCGAGTCGTCGCCGCTGCCGCCGTCGTCGAACGTCGTCGTCGTCGTCGTCGTCGTCGTCGCCGAGCGTCGTCGTCCTCCTCTTTCTCCCCCTCCTCCCCCTCCTCACCCTCTCTCTCCTCCTCCCCCTCCCCCCTCCTTCCTTCAGCCGCACCGCTTGACACCAACCCGTGGTCAGAGCGCGCGCCCAGCCGGGCCGCGCGGCGCGGACTCTCATCGCGAGCAGTGCCCTCTCAAGCTGTCCTTCCTGCGGCCCGGGGCCTGTCGGCTGGAGCCCCACGCGGGAGGAGGGGGGGGGGGGCCTCCCCTATATATAGGGCCCCCTGGGGAGGGGTCCACCCAGCGGCGCCCCCAGCACGTGAACTGGTGGAGTGACACGCTGGAGGGAGCCCTCGGCAGCCCCGCGGTGAGCTGAGATGCTGCGCGGGAGCAAATGTTGTCCTTTGTTGTTCTTCTTTCCCGGCGGCCCCCTGGCGAGAGGCTGGTGGAGTGCCGCGAGGGAATGGCACCCGGCGGCCCCGCTTCATCCCTCCCTCCTCCTGTTGTTCCCTCCCTATCCTCCTGCTCCTACCCCTCCCATCCTCTCGCTCATCCCTTCCTCCCTCCCTGCCTCTCTCGCTCTCACTGGCGTCCACCTGATTCGGCCAAGGCAGACGCGGCCGTCGCTCCACTCCCTCCTCCTCTACTTCAAATGTCCCTCCTCCTGCCCTGGCTTTCTGGGAGGATGAGAAAGGGAAGGAGGTAACAGCAGCACGAGATGGGAGAAGGACGCCAGGGGAAGAAACAGGAGGCTGGCGCAGACGGAGAAGGGAGGAGGGAGGAAGGGAGGGAGGGAGGGAGGGAGAAGAGGGGAGGGGAGAGGGGGAAGTGCAGACCAACGCGGCCCCCACGAGCACCAGCCGCAGACGCACCGGCTACCGCGAGGGCTCCCGCAGCCTCGAGGCGGCGCCCGCAGCTGCGCACTCCGGCGGGCGCGCGGGCGGCCCCTGCGGCGGCGCGCTGCTCCGGGGCACCTTCTCCAGCACGTGCAGCAGTGCCGAGCGCGACCGGCCGTTGGCAGAGACCTCCGCGTGGGACGGCCGCCGCGGGGGCGCGGCCCGGCGCACCGCGTAGCCCCTGCCGGTAGCGAGCAGCGGGTACAGCTGCGCGAGGCGCTCGTCGGGGGTTGCTAAAAATCTAGAATTAAGGGTGCCCCTGGCCCGAGGTGCCCCCCGCCTTTCTCGCAGGATTCTGGAGCCCCTGTGGGAGATCTGGACCTCGTGAGTGGGTGCTCTGGAGGCCGCGGGGGCCTCCTCGGGAATCCTGGGGCCACCTTGGGCCAGGGGCACTTCTAGCAACACCCGAGCTCGGGGGCCAGCCGGCCCGCCAGCGCCGGCCCTGGCTCCTCGTGGTCCCGCAGGAAGCGCCGCACCGCGGCCGGCTCCCACTTGTTGAAGGTGATGAGCACGCAGCGCCCGTGCATCCGCAGCCGCTCGAACGCCCCCTCCAGTCAGAGGCTCTTCCTCCTCCTCTTCCTCCTCCTCCTCCTCCTCCTCCTTCTCCCCCTCCTGATCCTCATCGTTCTCCTCTTCGTCAACCCGTACCGCTACCCTTCCCTCGTGTTCGCCTTTTTGGGGCCTCGTGGGAGGCCCTCGTCGCCACCGCTGGATTCGCCTCGGAATTCTACTCAGAACGCACCCCGGGAGAGGCCCGGGGAGTAGCAGTATCAGTACATCTTGGCTTCCCCACCTCCAGGACTGAGTCCAGCTGCTCCATCTCCTGGTTCAGGAAAGTGCGGATCGCCACGAACACGATCTGCGGGAGGCACAGCCTCGGGGGAACCAGGGGATGCCTGCGCCTCTGCCTGGGTGCGCTCTGGGGCCAGGATCTAGAGGCGGGCCCCGCCGTGGCGACGAGGGGCGGGCAGCGGTGTCGGCATCCCCTGAGATCCGACGCCGCGAACAAAATGCAACATCGCAAAAATCACGACCAGAGCCCGAGACCCAAAGAGGCCCCCAAAAGGCTTCCAAGAGGCCCCCCAGAGGCTCGCAAGAGGACCCAAAATTCCTCCCCAGAGGCCCCCGAGAGACTTCCGAAGAGACCCCAAGGCGCATCCCTGAGGACTCTGGCCCACGTCAGCGTCGTCGTCGTCGTCGTCGTCGTCGTCGTCGTCGTCGTCGTCGTCGTCGTCGTCGTCGTCTCCTTTCAGGGTCGACGGCACCGCCCGTAAGGCCTTCGCAATCACGACCAGAGCCCTAGACACAATCTTCCTGCGGCATTTGTCAAGGCGGATCAATCCGTGAGGGTCCCTGGGCCTGAAACGAGGCAAAATCGCATTGTGTGGAAAGGGTGCGACGCCGGGATATGAGGGTCTCTTCCTCCTCTGCAGCCTGGGGTAAGCCTGCGAGAAGTCCGGAGCAGCCTCCCGGACCGCCGCGGCCAGCTGCCACGCCGAGGCGAACCGGCCGCCCAGGCGCCGCTGCGCCTGCAGTACGCCCTCGGCGACGCGCTCGGACAGGAGCGGGTCCAGGCTGTGCCCGCAGTGGTGCAACACCCAGGCGAGCTCGCCGGCGGTCACCGTCTGCAGCCACGCCGCGGCCGGGGTGCCGGCCTCCTTGGGGGGACGCCAGCGATACACCTATACTGACATGGCCATGTTCATCGTGTGCTCAGGATCGGTGGTGCACGGTCGTCACCTAGGACAGGAGAACATCCTTCAAGAACATGAGACCCTCCGCCGGCCAAACCGAAAAAACATTCGAGGGTACACCCTCCTCCCCCAGGATGCACAAGAAACATTCAACAAACACGAAGAGCATCAGGGTACCCTCCCCGAGCCGACATCGATCTCATACCTCGGTCCGACCGTATACGTCGTCCTAGCTTGGCGAGGCCGAGCCTGAGCCCAGGATCGGCCTGGCCAGGATCGGCATGGGTTGCCGACCTCCCGTCCTGGTCCATGCGCATGTCCAGTGGCCCGTCCTGCCTGCCCCTGTGGGAGAAGCCGCGGCTGGCGTCGCGGAGCTGCGGCGTGGAGACGCCCGTGTCCAGCAGCACCCCCGCCACGGGCTCCCGTACGGCATCGGCGAGGTCGCCGAACGGCCTGTGCATGATGGCGAAGCGGCCGTCCTTGCTGGCGAGGTCCTGCCCCACCTGCACGGCCACGGGGTCCATGTCGAACGCGATGAGGCGCCCGTGCTCGGAGAGGCGCGACAGCAGGTGCCGCGAGTGCCCGCCGCGGCCAAAGGTGCAATCCACATACAGCCCGTCGGGCCCGAGGGCCATGGCTGCCGCGGTGGCCTCCTGCAGGAGCACTGGCACATGCGCGCGAGCGCGGCAGCGGGCCTGCAGTCTTAGGGCATACGTCGGGCCACGGTTGTAGAGCCCGTTGACGCGCGACGTCCACGCGGCGACCTCGGGATCCTTCCTCTGCTGGCGGAGGCTCTGCCCCGCGCTCCGCAGCAGCGCCTCCGGACGGCCCAAGGCGGCACAGGCAGGAGCGTTCGGAGGTCCGCGTGTATTTCTTGGGCCCCGCACGTGCGACTGTGCAATGGAAGTCTGCATCGCCTCGCCTCCCGGCCGCCGGCGGTCCTGGCCCAGCATACTCCGAGCTTCTTAATGAGCGTCGGGGTGGGGGCGTCACCCCCGCCGACAGCCCCACATCGACCTCCGTCGAGGGCAGCCACCGCGCGCCGAAGGCGCTCCGACCCCCGTCGCGGCGCGACGACGAGGCGAGGCTGACCCCCGTCGGGGGAGGATGATGAGGAGGAGGAGGAGAAGGAGGAGGAGGAGGAGGAGGAGGAGGAGGAGGAGGAAACCCAGAGTAGGACTTCGGCCTTCCGCCGAGTGGATGACGGCGGGCCTCTCCGGGGGGAGCTACGCCGCCCCCTCCTTCGGCAGCCCGCACTGGCCGCCCACCCTTCAGTGCACCGGGCTTTCGTGCCCGAGGCGAGCTGGCGCGCTCTTCGTGGCGAAGGTTCTCTACGCAGGAGGAGGAGAAGGAGGAGGAGGAGGAGGGGAGCAGGAGGAGGAGGAGGAGGAGGAGGAGGAGGAGGAGGTAGAGGAGGAGGAGGAGGAGAAGGAGGAGAAGGAGGAGGCGGAACAGGAGAAGGAGGAGGAGGTGGAGGAGGAGGAGGAGGAGGAGGATAAGGACCAACGTAAGCCCAAAACACAACAACGAAGCTGCAAGAAACACTCCCTGCACACTCCCTTCTCATATGGCACCCCTGCCTTCCCCCCCTCCGCCGCCGCGCTCTGCTTCTCCACTCTCCCAATGTGTCTCTGCCCTGCGCGCCCCGCCGGCTGACCAACCGCGTTAGCGCCAGCCTGTGCCGCCAAGCAACAGAAAGTGTGTCTCGTGGTTAGGCTCGCGGAGAGTGCCCAGGGCGGCGCCGCCAGGAGTGCAGGGAGGGGCGCTCAGCTCAGATCCAAGATCTACGCGCGGACCTCCGCAAGCGTATGCTTGTGCCGTTGCCTGCTCTCCTGGCCTTGCGCTCGGTGATGGCACGCTGGAGGCTGTCCCGCTCCTCTGGGGGAACAGAAGGGTGCCAATGCCGCCGCTTTCTTGACATCTCCTCGGGTGCGTTCTCAAGAGGGAACGATAAGGGGGACTGGCTCAGGGGGGGGAGGGGGGGGGGGGAATCGACCTGGAATCGGCGCCACGTCACCGACAAATCGGCGATGGGCCCCCGATGGCGAATCTGCAGGTTCCTGGGCTGGGTGTGTGCTGTCGGGCCTCTGATCGGCGATGAGTGGGCGATTGGGGGTCGATGCCTCCCCCCCTGAACGTTGCCTCTGAGTTCGAGGGCTTCGAAGAACGCGAGCCTGGCCGTGGCGACGACACCCCCCCCCACTCGAGAAGCCCAGAACACGCCAGGTCGAGGGCGCACCCCCCACGCCTCCCCGCCCATTGGCCCGCCCATGGCCCGCCCCCCCGCCAGACACCGATCATGGGCCCAGGAAGGGCCCAGCCAGGGTCGGCGAGGTGGCCAGCCGACGCCCCCCGACGTCGAGCAGCTCGGAGCAGATGTTCCCAGACGTCCGACGTCGTGTCTTTTTTCAGACGGCCCCCTCGAAAGTCCCGACCCTGTCCCCCGGGACGGTTTTTCATTCCCAGTCCTTTTGGACGGTCCTCAGGCTCAGCGAGGGCCGCCAAGGTGCCGAAAACTGCCAAACACCTCCCGTTGTGATGTTTTCGCGACGCGCACATGTATGGGCACGCTCCGTGATTGTTTCCATCCGCGGCCTCCCGACCGCCTCCCCCAGGGGTGGTCGTTCGTCCTGGAGCCGCTCTTGACAGCCCTGGGGACCAGTAGCCGCCCCGCGAGGCCGAAATCCAACGAAAACGCTCATGTCGAACAAAAAAAAACTATCGTCGGAGATCGTTGCGAGGAGCTTTTGAAAAGCCAAGCCCTTCAGGGCCTGGGTGGTTTAGCGAGCTTCTTCTTCTTCCAACCCCCTTCCTTCACCTTTCGGGGAAGGACCCCCCAAAACCAACCCCGTCAATAAACATTGTGAAGTCCACGTTGGGGCCAAACGTTGGGTCATGATCGGGGGGGCGAGGCAAAATGCAAAATGCATTTCGAGGCAAAATCTGGATCATGCGCGGGCACACCGCGATCACTGCGCATAGGCTTTTTGACTGGGACGGCGGGGGTGCTGGCATATGGCCTGCTGTGTGTAGGCCCACTAGGCACTATAATGGCCACCCCGCCGCGATTGCGCACTGGTTTTCGAAAAGTGGTGGTGCCGACACGTTTCCCGATGTGTACTGTCACGTGCGCAAGCGCACCTGGCACACTCTGCGCGTGCCCCGAACGTGGCGCACCTTGCGCGGCTGGAGTATCGTGGATCACGTGGCGCATCTGGCGCACCAGGCATGCCCGGCACGCTTGGGCCAAAGTGGTACCTGGCGCACCTGGCGCGCGCGGCGCGCCTGGCACGCGTGGCGCACCTCGCCCCAGCGTTGCGCACATGGGGTCTGTTTTGGTTCCTATTAGCTGTTCGTCCAAAGACGACCGCTGAACGTTGCGGCTCGGGTGCAACTTTGTGTTGGGGGTTCGGGTGGGGGTGAGCGCGACGGCTTGCGGGCGGGGAGGGTGTCGTGACCCCTCTCCCCCCCCTTTTGGGTTTGGGAGGGTCGCGGATCGCTGGAGCGGAAAAAATGGCCTCGGCGAGGAAACCCAAATCACTGACGTTTCTAAGATGCAGGCCTTATGTTGGCTTCCTGGGGGGGGACTCTAGTGTACTACGGCCCCTCCTTCGATCGATCTCCTCAAAGACGGCCCCAAGATGGCCCCCGAGGCGCCCAAGGGTGCACCAAGACAGCCCCAAGAGGCGCCCAGAATCAATAGTTGTAATAAGGCTTTGGCCACCGTTGGGCCTCCTGGCGGGAACCTCTCACCTGGGGGGACCCTAAATCAAGGAGCCCCCCATCCGTTGATCGATCTCTTCCGAAGCTCCAAAGGGTGCCCCAAGACGGCCCCAAGAGGTGCACAGGAGGCCCCAAGATGCCCCCCCAAGAGGCCACCAAGAAGTTCCAAGAGGCTCTCCAGAGGCACCCAAGACGCCGCAAGAGGCCGCCCAGGACAGCCAAGAGACCCCCAAGACACCCGAAGAGAACCCCACGAGGCTTTCTGAAGAAACCCGAAGGAGCTCCGAGATGCATTCAAAAGGCGTCTTGCCGTTCTGTTCGCCCTCCCCCATTCTCTCCCTCCTCCTCATCCTCCTTCCCCTCCTCATTTTCCTCCTGCTCCTGCCCACCATCCTCCTCCTCCTCCTCCTCCTACTCCTCCTCCTCCTCCTCCTCCTCATCATCCTCCTCCTCCTCCTCCTCCTCCTTCCTACTCCTCCTCTGCTTCCTCCTCCTCCTCTGCTTCCTCCTCCTCCTCCTCCTCCTCCTCCTCCTCCTCTCCCTCCTCCCTCCTCCTATCCTCCTCCTCCTCCTCCTCCTCCTCCTCCTCCTCCTCCTCCTCCTCCTCTTCCTCCTCCTCCTCCTCCTCCTCCTCCTCCTCCTCCTCCTCCCCTCCTCCTCGTCCTCCTCGTCTCCTCCTCCTTTTCGTCCTCCTCCTCTCCTCCTCCTCCTCCTCCTCCTCCTCCTCCTCCTCCTCCTCCTCCTCCTCCTCCTCCTCTCCTCCGCTCCTCGTCCTCCTCCTCCCTCCTCCTCCTCCTCCCTCCTCCTCCTCCCTCTCTCCTCCTCCTCCTCCTCCTCCTCCTCCTCCTCCTCCTCCTCCTCCTCTTTTCCTCCTCCTCATCCTCCTCCTACCTCCTCCTTCTCCTCCTCCTCCTCCTCCGTCCCTCCTCTTCCTCCTCTCCTCCTCCTCCTCCTCCTCCTCCCTCCTCCTCATCCTCCTCCTCCTCCTCCTCCTCCTCCTCCTCCTCCTCCTCCTCCTCCTCCTCCTCCCTCCTCCTCCTCCTTCCCCTCCTCTTCTCCTCCTCTCCTCCTCCTCCTCCTCCTCCTCCTCCCCCCCCTCCTCCTCCTCCCTCCTCCTCCTCCTCCTCCTCCTCCTCCTCCTCCTCCTCCTCGTCCTCCTCCTCGTCCTCCTCCTCCTGCTCCTCCTCTCCCATTCCTTTTCCTAAGAAATAATTTCTCCCTGTCGCACCCCTAAGCCAGTTTTCAGGGCGGGCCGGGCGTTTCGCCTGAGATTTCCTCACCAGTGTTTCATTTGAAGCTTCAAAATTGGCAATGGTTTCATATGTGGAGGGCGGGTGGTTTTCAAAATGTGGGCCTTAGCGCCGCGCACATTCGTTCTCAAAATTTGAAAGAGCTTCACGGATTGAGGGTCACCCGTTTTCAAAGTGTGGCTCTCGCCTTAGCGCCAAGCACATTCGTTGCAAAAATGCAAGAACTTCACGGATTGATGATCACCCGTTTTGAAAATGTGACTCTCGCCTTAGCGCCGCGCACATTCTACTTTTGAGAAAAATACACGAGTGGGACGGGTTGAAGGCGGCTCTTAAAATGTGGCCCTCGCCTTAGCGCTGCGCACACTCGCTCATAACATGTGCAAAAGTTTCACGGATCCCCACGATCAACGTACCAGAAATGGTGCTTTGGAAAGATTCATGATTTTCCGGGCGCAACAACTACGTTGATTCGCGGTGTTAGATTCCCAGAATGGCCTTCTGGCACAATGCAAGATCGTCCAGACGCAACAATCAAGTTAATCCATGGCGTTGGAATCCCGAAAACAATGATTTGGTATGTTTCCGGGTCTTCAACCGGTTGTCTTCCAACGAGGCATATCCCTCAATGGAAATGAACCGCTGTAGGGGCGTATGGAGAGGGAGCTTGGAGGGAGGGTGTATGGCAACATCGTTGATGGCTAATGGGTTTAACCCGAAGAAGCATTCAAGAACCCCCCTGGGTTTATCTTAGCACCGCAATTGTATTAGATACTCCACTGGGGCATTTTCGCGGAACGATAGCTGTAGAACCACGGTTTTATATATATATATATATATATGTATACAGAGAGAGAGAGAGAGAGAACAAAAAAGAGAGAGAGAGACAGAGAGAGAACAAACAAAACACAAAGCAAAACAAACAAACAAACAAAACGCCCCCGGGCTCGGGTGGAATCCCCATTGGGATCTGGAGGCGTCCGACTTGAATTTCGGTTGGGTACGAACACGAAGAACCATACTATACGACAATAATGATAAGAACAATAACAGTAAGTACACCTGTCGAAACAATATTCAGCACCGAAACGCGAATGCGAATAATAAGAATACGAGCAATCACACAAATACGAAGAGGATGAACAACAAAAAACACTTAGAAAACTGCCGTCTGCCTTGAACCTATTAGTGTTTTACTGTCGCCACTATGCAGAAGTTTAGATTTCCCAGCCGTCGCACAAGGAGGTCCATCCGAGGATATCGCACTCACCACGCAAGGAACGATATCTTAGCACCGAACGCGCACAAAAAGAAATAATCCCAGCGCCCCCCCCCGTCCCCTCCGATAGTGCTACGAAAAAGGATGAATGATCATCAGAAAAGACAATGGGTGAGAAAAACAATGCGAATGAGACTCCTTGATGGGAGCCTGCTGGAATCATAGTGTGTCCGAATGCGACTGGAGTCCGAATGGAAGACAAGTGGAATCCAATTGGAATCATGTTGTATTGAAATCCGATTGGAATACTATTGGAAACAACTGGAAACCGATTGGAATACGATCGAATTGGAATTCTGTGGTAATCCTAGCCAGGAGTCCATTTTGGACTCCTGTTGTATTGGAATCAGATTGGAATCCCACTGGGCTCCTCTTGAAGTTCTATTTGAATCCTATTATGGTGGTACCATATTCGGGTCATAGTGGCATCCTATTCGAATCATACATGGTAATTCCATGCATTTGGAAAACTACCGTACGCCTTGAACCTATAAAAAATGTGAGATTGCTGCCCCGATGCAAAAGTTTAGATGTCCCGGCCGTCGCACAAGGAGGTCCATCCGAGGATATCGCCCCCACCCCGCACAGAGCGATATTTTAGCACCGCGCGTGCACAGAAAATAC